AGAAAAGATATAGCTAAAATTAATATTTAAGCTTTTATTAAGAATTTTAAAAAACGCAGGCAAATTTGCCTGTGTTATAGACAAAGGGATAAGACAATATTGCATGCAAGAATTTGTTTGGACTTGTACTTTAGAAATTTTAAATTTTTGGAAAAAATTTTTTTATTTTTTGGAAAAACTGCTGATTTACTATAAACTTTGTTTTGCAGATCTCAAACAAGTAAACAAACAAACAGTCTTTTTTAGGCAATACAACAATTACATAAGCAGTATAGACAAACAAACAAAGACGCGAACATATCTACTAATTGATATTTTTCTAGAACATTCGAAATTTAGAACAAATACATCTAAATAGTATAATAATATCTGAGCTTACTATATACAAAAATTTCTTTAATAAGTCTGATGCTGAAAGAATTTCAGTAAAAGAAGAACAGGAAGTCTTCACTTTTGAACAGGATAGAAAAGTGGCAAAGTATCTTGGCACTAATGAAACTTACTTGATCGCAATTATACGCAATACTTTACAATATTACGATTTTGCAAGACATAAATTAGCAAGAGAACAAAGCTTATCAGATGAAGAAAAAATTCTTCTAAATTGTACAAGCCCCACTACGATGCAAATAGATAGCACAAACAAAAAGCAATCTCAAGAAAGTAGTATAAATATTAATGCTAAGCTATCCTATATGGAAGGTGTAATTAGGCAATCAACCACTGCACCCAAATCAACCAAGATAGAAATTAAATCAGATGTAAAAAACTCTTCAACCTCCAACAAAAATAGAATCAATCTGACTCCTATGAAAATTACACAGGCAGATCTAGCCGTAGAAATCATCAATACTATTAGCAATATCAAATTAGAACCTCAAGGCAATCCCTGTAAGCGCAATCACACAGATCAAATCCTAGATTTAAATACACAGAAAAATCATTCAGATTTAGTCAAAGCTACTTTAGTACAAAATGAATGTGGCACATTAGATTACGGTCTTAATGATTATATCAAAGAGAAATCCCAAGTAAACATAGGAACCTCAAGCAATGAAATATAAAAAATCTAAACAACACGAAGACATATACAATTCTGCTTGGGTACCGGAAAGTAAAATCACATATCAGGAACCTAATAACCCCTCTACATTAGATTTTACGATTTGGGATTTACTAAAAGGAATAGATAGCTTAGTAATTGTAGCATATTTGAATTACTATAGTATAGCAACAGTTATAGCTTGGCAAAATAATTTCAGAACAAGGGCAGCTCATATTAAGTTATTACCTAAGTCAGAATTCAAAGGAAAATCTGTAAAGGAGAGTTGGTCGACTCAATTAGAATTAGGCAAAACATATCGAACAACACTGGGTATTTTTGATATTACAGAACTGGAATCAAGAAACAAGTATAAATGCCTAATTACTAATTTACCAACCACAGCCCAGGATAGTCTGCTCCTGCGCCAACTTAAAAGATATAAAGTTCAAGCAGTCTATATCTTTAGCAATAACAACGGAAACCAAAGAAAAGTAGCTCAAGTATATTTCAAATCGGAGGAAAACCTCATTCTAGCACAAAGCTACACTCCTTACTATTTCAATTTCAAACTTGAGTGGCACACTTATTCAGAAAATTTATTTTGGAAAAACGCATCTGGTAGCATATTTCACTATAAGAAAGAGATTAAAAGTATAAATAAAGAGAAAAGAGTGGCAACAGAATTGGATTTTCTAAAAGAAAAGAACCCAACCAAAAGAGCATATATAAATCAACCAAAAGAGAATAGAAATTTTAACTCTGCATGGACAGACAACAGTAAACCAAGCAGTCGTATCATTAATCCTAGATTTTTGAATAGGAGTAGAAAGCCTCTCAGAAATATTAAAACATGATTGCAACCGGGTCAAATAGAATTGAAATTAGAGAAAAGAGAGAAAATCAAAACAAGCAAGCAATAGAATTAAGCAGAGATAGAAATACTCACAAAATAACTAGATTGTATAGTAGAGATTCTAAAGAGTCAAGAAAGGTTCACACACCTGTGGTTATTTCACAAGACAATATTTTAGAACAAATTTTAAATAGATTGCAAAAAATAGAAGAAAGACAGGGGGCCAGCCCCAATTTCTCCTAAGGGCGCCCCAGTTGTACTACTAAAATCAAACAAGCAAGATAGCTCATTAGGGCATATACCACTTAAGATAAATAATAATACTCGTAAATTAGAATTAGAAGTAGATATAGAATTAAAAGTAGCATGCCATAATATCAATAGACTAAAATCAAATAACCAAAAGCTCTTATATTTGACAAACTAGGCAATAGAGGAAGCAATTGACATCATAGGAATAACAGAGATGAATATCACACAGGGAGAGGACAATTATATTCTCCCACTAAATAGCCTATACAAAAGTTACTGGTCAAACTCAAGCTCCAACAAAAAGAAAGGTTTTGGAATAGGTGTGCTAATTAGCGAAAAGATCCATAAGTATGTCGGTAACTTCAAAAGACACAGCGAGTACTTACTAAAATTCCACATAATTTTAAAGTCTTTAAAACTAAATATACTTATTGTATATCTCCCACCAAACAATCAAGTGCAAACAAAGCTGATACAACAGCAAGTCCTTAACATTTACTTGGACAGAGCCAAGAGTTTTGAAACATTAATTATGGGAGACTTCAATCATGTTTTAACTCCAGATCTAGATAAGTGTAGTTCTAGCAGCACAGTAGTATATAAAAGACTTTCTCTAACACATGGTTGTTAAAGCAAAAATTCATGGATACTTTCAGACATTTGAATCCAGACTCTCAAGCGTATACATAGTCAAATGGTAGCACAGCCACACAGATTGACCAAATATGGATTTCTGAAGATTTAACCCCAAATCTATATAAAGCAAAAATCGTGGATATGGAGCTCATAACAGAAAGCGATTACAACACAGTACTAATAAGTTTAAAGGGTGAAACGATCATGTTAAATAATATTCAGAGATCTAAACAAGCTGAAAGCTCGCACTTAAAGTTTTTATATGACAAAGCCACGAATGAGAACTGGGAAGACTATAGAGCCTCTTTGAATTTCTTTCTCAGTAAATGTTCAATATCAATAAATACTTTTAACAAAAATATCAAGGAAATCTCCTAGCAAGATATCAATAACATATAGACATCTTTTGAACAAGGAATATTATATGCAGCTAAATTAAATATTCCATATAAAAAGATACCAAACTTATCCAAAGGTACAATATGAAAAACAAAAAGAACAATGACACCTCTTCATGAAGATACTATTAGTATAAGCAAAATTTGTCAAGAGTTCAAAAGATTAGCAAGAGAAAATAAAGAGCAAAAAGCCACTACTGTAGTCTTACTTAGAAGATTACAAGAAATTAAATCTTTACTTTGCAAGATAAATCATAGACATGAAACAAATATAATGTTAGATGAAAAGGTGACAATAGATGAATGGGTACAAGATATTAAGGGATGGCTCTATTTGTTTAATAAAAAATGGGCGGCAACATTAGAAAAGCAGAAAAAGAAAAAGATCAAGAAGTTTACAGACCATCGTTGTCTAATGATCCATGATGAACAAGGAAAGATGCTCAAAAGTATACTAAATAAGCCTTACACGAAAGCCAATCTAGATAGAGTTATAAAGAAAATAGACAATGACTTTCAGTTATATACAAACCCAAAAGACATTTTATCTAGAACCCATGCCTTCTTTTAGAGCCAATACAATAACAGCCATCCAAAGTTGAATCTCATATTGGAAGAGTGGACAAAGATCTACGAACCACAAGCATATATAAATGATGACTGGTATATAAACTTAGAAAAAGACATTTCAGAAGGTGAATGGCAAAAAATGCTTAACAAACTCAAGAACAATATAGCACCAGGCATCACAGGAATTGGTTATGTTTTGATTAAAAAGGCAAACAATGCTACACATGAAATTTTTAAAAAAATTTGGATCCTTTTGTTTAAAAACTGGCAAAATCCCAAACAAGTGGAAATGTAGCCAAATTTACCCTATACCAAAATCATCTGAATGAGATAGTACATTAAGCTCCCTAAGACCAATTGCACTTTTAGAAACTTTTCACAAGTATGTAACAAAGATCCTTGCAACTCGTCTATCAGAAATTATGACAAAAAATTCAGTTCTTAAAGGACCAAGCTTCGCAGGCCTTCCTGGAGATTTAACGTCCAAACCAATATACATACTAAGTAGTATTATCAAAGATGTTAAAGAACAAGAAAAAGAATTATAGCTTCTATTTCAGGACATGCAGAAAGCGTTTGATTCAGTTCCTCTTCAAATGCTGAAACTAGCAATGAAATGAGTTAAAATTCCAAGCATCTCAATAGATTTCATTATAAATCTATTTGAAAATCAAAAAACAAAAATTCTAACAGCGCTAGGCCCCATGGAAAACATTATAGCTTCAGATGGTATAGAACAAGGAGAAGTCCTTTCTCTACTCATATGGAGAATATTCTATGATCCTTTAATATATAGAATACAAAGCAATAAGAACCTAGGCTATACAGTTAATTTAAATGAACCACTCGACCTCCAAAACAATTCTTTTTTGGAGACAAACTTTCGTCAAGCAGCTATAGCATACGCAGACGACACAACATGGATAGCCAAGAGCAAAGTTCAGCTAGAGTTAATACTTAAAATTGCAGAGGAATTCTATACCTTAAATGATATTAGAGTCAACTCTAAAAAGTCAAAATTAATAGTAGTCAACTCGGCAAAGCCGGCAGATAGCAAAAGTATACTTTTAGCAAATAAAAAAGTCGAAGCAAAGAAAAGTAAAATACTTACAAAATTTTTAGAAATAGGCTTGAGTGGCAAAAAGCAAGACATGTTATTAAAAAAAAAGGCCAATTATCTTGTCCAACTAACAATAAGAACGATTAAAAACAAGAAGCTTACGTTAAGTCAACTAATCTACTTAAACAATATGTATTTGATTCCCAAACTTTGCTATATGCTGCAAGCAACCGGCCTTTCCAAGACCGCTTTGGAATAATTACATCAACCAATGGTTAGGCTTATAAAAAATAGAATAGATCTGCCTTGTACAACAAGCAATTTTCTATTGGCATACAGAAATCTAGAAAATTGCAAATTTCTTTGGCAGGAACTCCTGATACAACAAACAACCGACCTGCACCGCAAATTAAATAGTACAGACAGAGATGGTCAATTAGCAAAAATATGTATCAAACAAGGTTTTTTGGTCGCAAATATCATCGATAATAATTGGCTTTTTGAACCAAACACAGATCTGAACTCAATATAGAGAAACAATACAACATGTCTGACTTTATACAAAGCAAAAGAATTTGGTATAAGTATTAGACCTATAACAGAACAATGGCATTGTCAAAATTTGGGCCCACTTATTAAAGAATTTATTAGTTTTTCTCTTTTTATAAAAGTGGCAAAAAATATACTCAACCTTGACATTATATTCCGTAATCAGCTTTTAGACAGAGAAGGGAAAAAACTCCTAACCTGGCAGCAACTCAAATTAGCAAAAGGCAAAACCAGAGTAGGTAAAAAAGCTGCATAGTTTGCATTATTAGAAAAGATCTTACTACAAGACCAAAAAAGTAAAGAAATCAAGGTGACTCAACATGCAGCAGACCCAAATAATCTGGCGCAAAAGATGCCACTTGTACCAATCTCTTTTGACAAAAGGAAAAAAGAATGAATTCTAATAGATAAGGAAAATGATAATTTAGAAACGAGAAAGATCATCAAAAAGAGCAAAAGCAAAGTTCTAACAGAGCACTGAATAACTTCAGAAAACAACACACTACCAGGCTACATAGAAATTGAAAAGCCCAGTGAAGCACTTTCAACGAAACAGAATAAAGAGCTTAAATGGATTAGCCAAAGTAGTGTATACACGGTGATCTCTAAACTGCTGCAAAAGGTCAATCAAAAGTATATTCCTAGATACAAAGACATTCTCCCATAAAAAACCATTAAACATACTGTGCTCAAACCCGAAAAAGGAGAAGAAATACTCAATAGTGAAATCTTTATTGAACTATTGGACAAACAGCTAATTTTGAATCAGAATTTTGATATGATCTTGGTAGATAATTTGTATAGTAATTTAGACTTTAATAATAGTAGTGGTAGAGGTAGGTTTTGGATATATACAGATGGTTCATTAATTCAAGAAGAAGAGATTAGTAGTATAGGAATTGGTTGGGTACAAGTAGATGAAGAGCAAGTACAGCCCTTATGGGAGGGATATACTAAATTAGTTAATTAGCCATCATCAACAAAGCCCCGAGCTCATTGCAATCTGGTTAGCTCTTTTTACTATCCCAATAGGGGGTAATGTATATATTTTTTCAGACAGTGCAGCAGCAATTGCGAGTATAAACAAAACAAAAACAGAATGGAGATTCAATAGAGTTTACAAAGAGAAAAACTGGGACATTCTAATCAAGATTGCTGATCTTGTTAAAGCTAAAGATATTATTCTAGAACTTCAAAAGATTAAAGGTCATAGCAACAATAAGTGGAATGATAAGGCAGATGCTTTAGCAAAAAAAGCCACAACATTATCATATGTAACAGATATACATGCAGACATAAATACAAGAATCATATTTCCACTCTACTAGAAAGAGTATAGAATTGAAAAAGCAACCAAACCTTTTCTAAAGAAACTTTTCGAAACCTGGAATAGCACAAACTGGAGATTAACAGAGTCAATATTAGCTCTAGAACCTGATTCGAATAATCCTAAGCTAAACTGGCATACATATTGGAAAAGAATGTCAAGATTAAATGGAGCAAGATGCGATTCATTGCAAAAAAGCAAGCGACTTGCTACACAACTCAAATGCCTTTCAGAAAACCTCCCAGTTCTGCGAACGCTTTCAACAAGAAGACCTGATATATATACTAGTAGTAATTGCATAGTGTATAATAGTAATATTGTTGAAATACAAGATCATCTAGCTGAATGTTTCTACTACAAAGAGATGTGGCAAGACATCGAGGATAAAACAATTGACTTAGCATGGTCAAAACTTACAGCAGAGGAAAGATTTAAGTATCTGAAAACCTCCTTACACAAGATCCTAATTAGAGAAACGGAAACTGATAAACAAGAAAAGAATAGATTATAGATCAAGGGTATAACTACAGTAAACTCTTTTGATGAAATCAAGAATATCCTAGAATCACCAAAAACAACAATTGAGATTATAGCTCATATAATCTGTAACGGTTTTTATGACTTTATCTAGAAGAATAGATGCAGCAAACTCGCAGATTGGGAAAAAGCTTATAATATAAACAGACACGATAAAAGAGAGAAGAAAGTTAAAGTCTCTAAGCCAAAAAAGAATGTGACCTCCACCCCTGGGCTGAGAAGAAAAAATATTAAAGGAAAAGGAAAGGAAATTACAGCAAAAGAAATGAATTTACACACAACATGGGTAATGCAGTCTCAAATTGGATACAAAAAGGTATAAATCCCTTTTGGACAAGTTCTTAAAAAGAACTATTTTCTGGCACATTTGTGAGCCAGTGCGATGGGTTGTACCTAGGTACCTGAATAGGCAACCAGGTGAGGTCGGGCTTTTGTTAGTCTTAGAAATAATTGTATATATTTTATATGTACTTAAACTAAGAATTCAAGTTACGGCAAGACTTGTCAAAGAATAAAAAAAAAAAAAAAGTTGCTTGCTACAAATTACAACTTTAATTTTCTAATTTATTTATACTATCGCAACTTTAATTGTATTATAAAAAAATTATAATTAATATTTGCAGTAAGCAATACTAATTGTAATTGTTATTTATTAAACTTTATTATTTTTTATTTTTAAGCCTATTAGAGAATTTTTTGATCACTGTTGTCGTTCTTGTTCTTATTTTTTTTCAATAAAGAAGTGTGGTGATATTAATTGTAGTTTATGTTTGCTGATTAGAAGTCAATATAGAGAAACAATACAACATGTCTGACTTTATACAAAGCAAAAGAATTTGGTATAAGTATTAGACCTATAACAGAACAATGGCATTGTCAAAATTTGGGCCCACTTATTAAAGAATTTATTAGTTTTTCTCTTTTTATAAAAGTGGCAAAAAATATACTCAACCTTGACATTATATTCCGTAATCAGCTTTTAGACAGAGAAGGGAAAAAACTCCTAACCTGGCAGCAACTCAAATTAGCAAAAGGCAAAACCAGAGTAGGTAAAAAAGCTGCATAGTTTGCATTATTAGAAAAGATCTTACTACAAGACCAAAAAAGTAAAGAAATCAAGGTGACTCAACATGCAGCAGACCCAAATAATCTGGCGCAAAAGATGCCACTTGTACCAATCTCTTTTGACAAAAGGAAAAAAGAATGAATTCTAATAGATAAGGAAAATGATAATTTAGAAACGAGAAAGATCATCAAAAAGAGCAAAAGCAAAGTTCTAACAGAGCACTGAATAACTTCAGAAAACAACACACTACCAGGCTACATAGAAATTGAAAAGCCCAGTGAAGCACTTTCAACGAAACAGAATAAAGAGCTTAAATGGATTAGCCAAAGTAGTGTATACACGGTGATCTCTAAACTGCTGCAAAAGGTCAATCAAAAGTATATTCCTAGATACAAAGACATTCTCCCATAAAAAACCATTAAACATACTGTGCTCAAACCCGAAAAAGGAGAAGAAATACTCAATAGTGAAATCTTTATTGAACTATTGGACAAACAGCTAATTTTGAATCAGAATTTTGATATGATCTTGGTAGATAATTTGTATAGTAATTTAGACTTTAATAATAGTAGTGGTAGAGGTAGGTTTTGGATATATACAGATGGTTCATTAATTCAAGAAGAAGAGATTAGTAGTATAGGAATTGGTTGGGTACAAGTAGATGAAGAGCAAGTACAGCCCTTATGGGAGGGATATACTAAATTAGTTAATTAGCCATCATCAACAAAGCCCCGAGCTCATTGCAATCTGGTTAGCTCTTTTTACTATCCCAATAGGGGGTAATGTATATATTTTTTCAGACAGTGCAGCAGCAATTGCGAGTATAAACAAAACAAAAACAGAATGGAGATTCAATAGAGTTTACAAAGAGAAAAACTGGGACATTCTAATCAAGATTGCTGATCTTGTTAAAGCTAAAGATATTATTCTAGAACTTCAAAAGATTAAAGGTCATAGCAACAATAAGTGGAATGATAAGGCAGATGCTTTAGCAAAAAAAGCCACAACATTATCATATGTAACAGATATACATGCAGACATAAATACAAGAATCATATTTCCACTCTACTAGAAAGAGTATAGAATTGAAAAAGCAACCAAACCTTTTCTAAAGAAACTTTTCGAAACCTGGAATAGCACAAACTGGAGATTAACAGAGTCAATATTAGCTCTAGAACCTGATTCGAATAATCCTAAGCTAAACTGGCATACATATTGGAAAAGAATGTCAAGATTAAATGGAGCAAGATGCGATTCATTGCAAAAAAGCAAGCGACTTGCTACACAACTCAAATGCCTTTCAGAAAACCTCCCAGTTCTGCGAACGCTTTCAACAAGAAGACCTGATATATATACTAGTAGTAATTGCATAGTGTATAATAGTAATATTGTTGAAATACAAGATCATCTAGCTGAATGTTTCTACTACAAAGAGATGTGGCAAGACATCGAGGATAAAACAATTGACTTAGCATGGTCAAAACTTACAGCAGAGGAAAGATTTAAGTATCTGAAAACCTCCTTACACAAGATCCTAATTAGAGAAACGGAAACTGATAAACAAGAAAAGAATAGATTATAGATCAAGGGTATAACTACAGTAAACTCTTTTGATGAAATCAAGAATATCCTAGAATCACCAAAAACAACAATTGAGATTATAGCTCATATAATCTGTAACGGTTTTTATGACTTTATCTAGAAGAATAGATGCAGCAAACTCGCAGATTGGGAAAAAGCTTATAATATAAACAGACACGATAAAAGAGAGAAGAAAGTTAAAGTCTCTAAGCCAAAAAAGAATGTGACCTCCACCCCTGGGCTGAGAAGAAAAAATATTAAAGGAAAAGGAAAGGAAATTACAGCAAAAGAAATGAATTTACACACAACATGGGTAATGCAGTCTCAAATTGGATACAAAAAGGTATAAATCCCTTTTGGACAAGTTCTTAAAAAGAACTATTTTCTGGCACATTTGTGAGCCAGTGCGATGGGTTGTACCTAGGTACCTGAATAGGCAACCAGGTGAGGTCGGGCTTTTGTTAGTCTTAGAAATAATTGTATATATTTTATATGTACTTAAACTAAGAATTCAAGTTACGGCAAGACTTGTCAAAGAATAAAAAAAAAAAAAAAGTTGCTTGCTACAAATTACAACTTTAATTTTCTAATTTATTTATACTATCGCAACTTTAATTGTATTATAAAAAAATTATAATTAATATTTGCAGTAAGCAATACTAATTGTAATTGTTATTTATTAAACTTTATTATTTTTTATTTTTAAGCCTATTAGAGAATTTTTTGATCACTGTTGTCGTTCTTGTTCTTATTTTTTTTCAATAAAGAAGTGTGGTGATATTAATTGTAGTTTATGTTTGCTGATTAGAAGTCCACAACATATATTTGATTCATTAAATCACTTACCTGATCTAGTTCCGGCAAATAGTGATCATTACAAAAACTTTGATGATGTTTATAGTATAAATACAGATGAATCATATTGTCCATCTATACAGTTATGTAAAGCAAAATTAGATAAAAATAAAAAAGGAAAACAAAAACAAGATAAGCAAATACCATGGTCTGGAAATGCACAAAAAGCAAAAAATGTAGGCATAACTGTAACTTGTATAGAGTGTAACAAATTAAGATGTTTATATGCCACTAAAAAGATTACAAATAATGAAAAAAATAGTTTAATTGCATATTTGGATACTATATACTATACTTGCGGTACTACTTTTATTTGTCAAAGATTCAAAGAATCAAATAAACTTTCTGTTCAAAAACAAAATATAAGTAAAATATTAGATAATAAGATATTAGATGATGAAATATTAGATGATGAGATATTAAATGATGAGATATTAGATGATGAGATATTAAATGAGATATTGGATAATGAAATATTAGACGATAATGTAATAAATAATAATAATTTATCTGATATGGAATTAGAAGATAAACAAGAAAAAAAAAATTGTTAGAAGATAGTTTGATGGAAGATATAGATATTCATACTAAACAAAATAATATAAATCAGAATTTACAAGATATTTTATCAAAAATATTTGTAAATGCTGCATTAGAATGCTATGATGAAATGGAAAAAGCTTATTATTTGGCAAATTTTCTTCCTGTATATTTTAATTGTAGTTCATTAGAATATATAATGCCTATACCTAAAGATCAATATCCTTACTGTGAATTATGTACTGCTGATTTTAATGTAAAAATTAAATTAGGAAAAGGGTTAAAGTTTTCATCAAATATAGTGAAAGAAAAGGCAAAAAAGTAAAAACAAAATAATATTTTTTAGATTAATTTTTTTTAGTTTTATAAGTATATTCATATAATGCTTATAAATAATTGTATATCGAACAATTAAGCAAAATAAATAATAATAATAATGCTAGCATAAAAATAGTTACTTAAAATATGTTGATTGTAATTTTATTTAAGTTTAATTTAAAGTATAATGTATATATTAAATTTTACTTATAATTAAAATTTTTTAGAGCCGGTTAGTATTATATGACTAAAAAAAAAAAATATTTTTTTATAATATTATTATAACCTGGCTAGTAATGAGAAATGAATAATTTTATTTGTATAGCCTAATAATTATGATATTTTTTATAGAATTTTTATTTAATTATTAAAATTAATAAATTTGTTATTTTAGTGAATTGTGGTTATCAATTTTTCACTTTGACATTGTCAAAATTTTGATCGCAAACATTAAAAAAAAGTTTATGCACTCTAAAGCTTGCAAGTCTCAATACATACATCATCTAATGCAACACAGGTTAATCAACAATCAAACCCGACATTAAAGTTTATGCCATTACCTGTCGCTACCCATTGGAATACATGGTTCTGAATGGTATTTTACGTTTGTAACTAATTAGAATACATTGAAGGATTTTACAAGAAAGAGGTAAAAATTGAGAAATCCGAAGCTGTGAAAAAAATAATGAATATTTTTAGCAACATTGAAGAAAATAGGCGAGTGTGTATTTACTTAACCTTCATTCGGCATTATGCTGAAAAGTTTATTTCTGATCTTAATTTTTTCCAACAAGAAAATGAACCTGTAATCCTATTTGTTGAAAATAGAATTCAACATCTTGAAATTTATTTGCAACATGGGAAATCTAACACGAATTTTGGGGATGATATTAACTTTTGTATTACAAATCTTGGAGCAGATCTGCTTACTTTTAGTGAGGTATTTCAACAGGCTTTTGCTGCTGCATATTCTAAGTTTAATTATCACTTTTTGCAGCATCCTTCCCATTTCTTTTTTATTGTCATACAAGTTTTTGACCCCCAGTTTGTTAAGTTAGCAATTTTTAATCGTAACATTCAAAATTATTCAAGCGAAATTCCTGAATTAAAACATCCTTCTCATACATTATTGCAAGAATGGGCTCTTTATTGTAATTTAGATTTAGCTTCAATTGATTTTGATCATTTAGATGAATTTTGGAATAAAATGTCTACTTCACTTCCCCTTTTAAACAATATAGCATTAATTTACATTTGGTTACCTATATTTTCTTGCACAGTAGAAAGAAGTTTTTCTATGTATAATAATCTTTTAGAAGATGATAGGCAAAATTTAAGCGAAGAATTGTTGAAAATGTTAAACATGTTATATTTCAATCAATGTAACTAATAAATTTTGCCATTTAATTGGTTAATAATAAATTTTTTTACAAAAAAATAATCCAAATAATTCCAAATATTTGAAATTTTTATCCAAATCTTATCCAAATATTGGGCCAGTATCCAAACAAATTTTTACGATTTCCAAACCAAATTTTTCCGGGTCCCTTCTACCCCAGTAGCACCGACAGATTTTCACTGATCGACATAAATTGACCAATTAGATTTTAAGATCAGGTGTAACGTGAAAATCATGCGTTTTTTTAAAAATTTTAAAAAATAGCAAATAACTCAAAATTTTATATATGAAACTACTTACCGTGAATTAGTAAAAAAATTCCTTGCCAAATTTTGGTATAAAAAAAGCTCCGATACGATCATAAGATCAAAACCTAAGCCTAGTATAATGTTTTATTATTTTAAAAGTCGTTGTTTTGATCAAAGCTGATTGGTGTCGATCAGTGAAAATCTATCGGCGCTACTGGGGTAGTTCGTTCGACGTTTCCCTGTTACCCGGTAGTTATTACAGCATTTTACGGCATACATTGAAAGGTTTAAAAAACGACTAAGAAAAATTTTGACTTCACAATTAGTAAAGTTAAAGCTGTTATAACGAAATATTTGAACCGTATCATCTTGCTGAGTTGCTTGTGGAATAGATAAAAGAGTAAAATTGAGATCTGATAAGTGAATTGGATCATTTTTATCATAATTCATATCAATATTTACATTATTGTATTCATTAGTTAACTTCATTGTTGTCATCATCACACTCATTGCTTTCTTCATCTCCATTATTGTTATCATAAAAATTTAAATGTATAGTGTATAATAAATATAAAATAAATATAATATTCATAGTAGCTTGGACATCTACGAAGGTTGCAGTTGACGATTCTTCTATCAGCACAAATTTTTCCGTTGATAGTTTTTCAAATTTTTACGGACGTTGGATGAATCACTGAAAATCGTTAGCTTTTACAAAGGAACTTTTTTTATTTAATTCCTATCTAGCCACTATATCATATCAACCTGGTACGTATACATTTTTCGGATACGTCGTCGTATTATTGCGGCCATTTGTAATAGTTATATCATACGGGCGGAATTTTTTGATTTGGTGACTATTAAAAATTCGATGATAATATTTTTATAAAATTTATCAAATCATTTA